GACCCAGTCCCCCCACCCCCGCTCTGTGTGCGGACCCCGCGGACCCAGCCCCCCGTGCCTTGCAGTGACCCGAGGGCGGACGGCCAAAAGCAGCGGCGCCCGTCAGGTGGCGTCTCCGTGGCGTCTGAGATGGTCTTCGAGTTGGAAGGTGTCGAGCTGGGCGCAGATGGAAAGGCAAGAGTCCCCACGGGCTGGCACAGTCGGGGTTGGCAGGAAAACATGACATGTTGAGGGGTCTTTTCACGTTCATCCTGTGAAGTGCGAGGGAGTGAGGGGAGGCGAGCACCAGCCTGAGGGGCGGGTTCCCATGGTCTCCTCACAGTTCCCTGCAGCGGGATGAGACGCCGGCCACGTTGTGAGCGGTGTGGCTTCCCCCAGGCCGCGTCTCCCACACACCGGTAGGTGGAGGTCACTACTGGGATGGCCGTGGTGGCGTTCTGGAATGTTCTTGACCCACGAGAATGCTAACATCAAGGGTGTGTGCAGCATGGGGCTCGAGGCCACCCTGGGCGTCACTGGGCCTGTGTCCTCCCCTCTCGGCATGGGGTGTCCGTGCATCCAAGCAGGGCTGCAGTCCTGACACAGAGACAAGTCGGCAGGGCCCGTCTTCATATCCAGTCTTGAGACTGAGCCCGACGCACTTCTCTCTCCAGGTCGTGTCTTACGCCAAGTTCCTGTACCCCACCAACGCCCTGGTCGCACCCAAGAGCGACAGTCATGGCCCATCGGCCCAGCCTCGGACCAGCGTCCCCCGGTCTCTGCCAGGGTCAAGATACAAGCCCGGCCCTGCCAAGTCGGTGCCAGCAGGCACAGAGCTAGGTAGCCAGCCGGCCTCTGGCCACAGCCTTACCCACGTGGGGATCACTACTCAGCAGGGAGTGGTCAGCCCCACCCTGTCCCGAGGCCCAGCGAGCACTGGGGTCTGGGGGCAGGGGCGGGGACCGTCTGGGAGAAAAGTAGTCGGCCCCGAGCTGCCCCCAAGCTTGGCAGTGGGGTGAGCCAGGCCTGAGGATCACTCTGGGGAGGGCCCCCGTCTGCCTGCCCTCAGTCCCCCACCCCAGACCCTGGGCGCTCCATTCCCCTTGCTGTCCCCGGGCATGCTCTTGGCTTCTGGGACACCTCACCACAGTGAGCAGGGTTTCCGAAGGAGGCTTTGGTTCGCAAGGCTGGGTGAGCAGAGCCCTAGTTCCTGGTGGACTCAGGGCTGCCGTCTGCCTCCAGGGAGCGACACCAGTGACGCCCTCGAGTACAACCCCGACCTGCTGGACGACCCGCGGTGGCCGTGTGGCAAGCACAAGCGCGTCCTCATTTTTGCGTCTTACATGGTGAGCACCTCACCTGGCAAGCCAGGCGCAGCCACTCGGGCCACGCACCCCATAGCTGCAGGCTGTGCGCACAGACAGGGATGGGGGCGGGGAGCAGGGCACGGGGCAGTGTGGCCGCCCCTCCTGCTCCCGGTGCGCTGGCTGCCAGCTCCTCTGCACGCACCACGCCGGCCGGGCTAGAGGCTCAGCTTAGCCACCGCGGGACGGGCCTGCAGCCGGCAGCCTGAGGGTGCGCAGAGCCACGCCAGGAGGGATGTGGCAGGCTGCAGGGCAGCACTGCAGCCCACGGTGCGGACAGCTTGACCCTGCCTGTGTGTGCCTGCTGAGAGGCGCAGGCTCTGGTTGTCTTCTGAAGGTGATTCGGGAGGCCACGCCAGGGGCCAGCGCGTGCCAGGGGCCAGCCTGTGTGAGGGGCCAGCATGTGCTGGGGGCCAGCGGCCAGCCCACACCAGGAGCCAGCGTGTGCGAGGGGCCGGTGCATGCGAGGGGCCAGCCCACACCAGGGGCCAGCCCGACGCACTGCTGTTCTGTCACAGACCACAGTGATCGAGTACGTGAAGCCCTCGGACCTCAAAAAGGACATGAACGAGACGTTCAGGGAGAAGTTCCCACACATCAAGCTCACGCTGAGCAAAATCCGGAGGTGAGGAGGGCTTCCCGCTTTACAGGGAGTGGCGGGGCCGCGGGGCCTCAGGGCCAGGGCTCAGGCCTTTGTGTCTGCGCTCAGCCTGAAGCGGGAGATGCGCAGCCTTTCAGAGGAGTGCAGCCTGGAGCCCGTGACCGTGTCCATGGCTTACGTGTACTTCGAGAAGCTCGTGCTGCAGGGCAAGCTCAACAAGCAGAACCGCAAGCTGTGCGCCGGCGCCTGCGTGCTGCTCGCCGCCAAGATCAGCAGCGATCTGCGCAAGAGCGAAGTCAAGCAGCTTATCGACGTGAGCGCGCGGGCGGCCAGGGTGGGTCGGGAACCCCATGTGGCTCCGGTCTGCCGAGGCTGGTGCCCTCACCCAAGGTCGTGGGGTGACCATCCCACGTGGCCATTCTCTTCTCCCCCGCAGAAGTTGGAAGAACGATTTCGGTTCAACCGACGCGACCTGATCGGGTTTGAGTTCACCGTGCTGGTGGCTTTGGAGCTTGCCCTGTACCTTCCCGAGAGCCAGGTGTTACCTCACTACAGACGCCTCACCCAGCAGTTCTAGCCACGGCACCTCTGCCCGGCAGCAGCCCTGCCCTCCTGGCCAGAGCCTGCGGCTGCCCAGGTATGGATGCCACCTGCTGGCACCGGAGGTGTGCGCGGTGCCTGAGCCCAGGTCCACGCCACGAGCTCCGCCCACCGCCCCGCACCCTCCCTGCCCCTCACTGACCCCCTTTGCTTTCATTCCAAAGTGACCACACCTCCCACACATTTCCAGGAATTTTCCTGGGTTTTTGGTCTACGAACTGTGGGTTTGGGTGAGTTTTTCATGTGCCTGAGCCTGGCTAGGCTGGTGCCAGGAGCCTCACCTCCACTGCAGGTGGATTCTGACGGTGGCAGGGCTGTCCCCTTCCTGCACTGGCAGTCTCCAGCCACCCGCTGGGGGCCCTGCACCAGGATCTTGGAGGGCTGGGTTTCCAGGCCGTCCGGAACAAGCTGCAATTGCTGAAGTTTAACCTATTTGAGCATTAATGCTCGGACGTCTGGGTTTCTCGATGGCCTCCTGAGGGCCGGCCCTCTCACCCAGCTCAGCCCTTCCGCCCTCCACGCACCTCCTCCAGCACCCGCAGGTGGGGCTCCTGACAGCTTAGGTGAAGCCAACAAGACTGACCTCCTGACTAGCCTCATTTTTACTCCTGGACTTCCGTTCTTCCAAGCATCCTGTCACTGTGAAATCCCTCCCAAGACACCGTGTGCAGCGGACGGTAGCTCACACCTTATGCAAGCACCCGCCCGCCGCCCTGGTGCCAGGGAAACCCACGTAACCTGCAGAAAACCTGCCTCCACTCTGGACTTCAGGAAAACAACTGCAGCTGCTGGTTCTTGGTTCTCCTAAGCAATATCGTGACTGAGAAAATAACGTATTTATTATAACCTGGGATTGGGTTTTCTGGGGTCTTTTTTAAGAGAACAAAAATGTGTTAAATGAGGTCTGCTGACGTTGTGACTTGAACACTGCTGATACTTGATCCCGAAGGGTGGAGGGGCTCTCCTGCTGCCCACCAAACGTCTCCCACCCCCACAGCACCCACCATGGCAGGGGCAGAGTGGCCCAGCAGCCCAAGTCCTTCAGGTGCCGGCTCAGAACGGCCTGTGCTGCTTGCTGCCCCTTCGGATCACACTAGGAGCATGGACTGTTGCGCTTGTCTTCACGGGCTGGCTGGTCTCCAAGAAACGAGCCCCGAGCTTGGCCAGACCCACAGCTGTCCTTTCCCATGTTACTGGCGGGGCTCCTGGATGACCCCCCCAGTACATCACATCCTGTTTGTGTGGACTGGTGCTCCTGCTGAAGTCACATGCCAGCTGTCACCAGCAGCAAGTCAGCTGAGACCCCCAGAAGAGGTACAGGATGGCTGCCCCACCCGCCTGCTTCATTGGGTCAGCTCAGCTAGCAGACTCTCCACTGGGCCCCAAAACCAGTAACGGGAAGCCACAGAACAGAGGACAGAACTGAGATGTCAGTGTCCTGACCTCGTTTATTGTAAACCAGCCCCCTCTGAAGCCAAGGCCGTCCCCCCAAACCCGACATGCATCCAGAACGGGAGGGCTGGACCAGAGATGCTGCTAAAATGTCTTGATGTCAGGCCCAGACCCCAGGCAATTTCTCCCAAAAATCAACCTGCCCTGCCACCAAGGTATCATCTCAGTACAGCCGTGTTAAAAACAATGACGACTTCCTGTTTACAGCCTAGCCTCGGGGGAAACGTCCCCTTGGGCATCTCTAGAACTGGCAGAGTGGCTGACAAATGCAGTCATTTAAGCTTGTGTATTTATGTAGTGACTTATTTACCAAACCCTTCCCCTCAGTGTATTTATTCTTTTTAATAATGCCGAGAGCTGCCACCATGTGGTACCGAAGACTTACTGCAATAGTCAGTCAATATTTAAACCAAAATTAAGCGGAAAACGTCACCCTGGAGAACAAGTCCAAACGTGTGGCGTGTGTGTGCGATGTTTGCTGGGCTCGTGGCCAAAGGGACCCCAGCTGGCGCCACCTGCCCTCCGGCACCTTGTGCGTGAATGACTGTCTGGGTCTCGGGCTGCAGCAGTCTGTCGTGGATCTGTTCTCAAAGGCAGAATGAATTTGCTTTGAAATAAAACTTGGTTTTGCTACAGACTTCCTCGTTTGTCTTCTTTCAGGGTGCACTGCCCCCTCGTTGCTCAATCAACCCTTCACAGCCACAGGTGAGCCCTGCCCCCGCCCCCTCCAGAGGAAGAGGGGCACGCATGCCTGCAGGCATGAATGAGCAACTAACACAGACCCGAGTTTTACTCTTTATTTACGACAAATACTCCACATCCATAACTCTCTCCGTCAGAAATTCCTAGAAAAGGGGGGGACGGACAGCATTACACACGCGTGTCTGGAGAAGCCGTAGGCCTCTACCCCAAACGGGACTCCCCTCTCTTACTTTGAGACAATGCCGTCAGCCTTGGCCAGCCGGAGAATGGAGTCATCTGACTCGCCCTTCAAAACAAAAAGTTCATTTTGAGAACCTTTCTCCTGTGCTACCTGACAGACAGGAGAACGTGAACAGCCCGCCCAGGGCTTACGCGTGTGTCCCAGTTAAGCAGATGGAGACCACAGAAATCTCTCACACAGGTCTCCTGCCTGGCTGCATGCCGGGGAGGCCCACATATAGCTCGGGTGGCCCCCCGTTAAAGGCAGGGTCCACCACCCGTCTGTTTTCCCAGAACAGCCCTTTCCCGGGAGCCTGGGCAGACACTGGAGATGCTGCCACAAAGCAGGGTGAGACTCTGGGAACCACCCCTACTTCTGCCAGCCAGGCCGGAGGGAAGGGGGACCCGGCAACCCCACGATACCGGGCCCTCAACAGTGCTCCCAAGGGGGCGGCGCTGAACACTCACCATCCTACGGATGGCCCCGCAGATAGCGTAGGTCTTAAACTGGCCGTTGAACCTGCCGGTGACTTTGTCAACCTACGAACAGAACAGGGGTCACCGAGACCTAACCAAACGTGGCCTTTGGGAAACATCAATACCTTTGGGTCTTGGGTGGTTCCTCCCCAGCGGGACCACCTCCCACCGAAGACCCGCGGGCCCGGCCCAGGCTCACCTCGGCCACGTTCATCTGGATGGACGCGTGGTCCTTGGCGCCGATGATGCGGTTGCTGGCGGAGCTGCGGGGACAGCGCGGTGAGCGGGGCGAAGGGATGGGAGGGAGACGGGAAGGGAGGGACCCCGAGGGGCGCTGGGGGGCCGCTCACCATTTCCGCGGCACGTACAGGTCCACGAACTCGCCGGCGTCGTTCTGCATGTCGAGGCCGCGCCTGCGGAGCCACCGCGCGGACCGTGAGGAAAGACCTCCGACCCCGCCGGGACCCGGACCCCGCCTCGGCCCATTCCGCCCCGGGCCCCGACTCAGGCCGGCCCGTGCGCGATGGCCTCCGCTCCGCTCCCACCCCGCGCCCCGGCTTCCCTGCTCCGGCCCCGCCCCGCGCCCCGGCCCCGCTCCGGTCCGGCCCCGAAGCCCCGCGCTCCGCCGGGCGGCGCACCTGAACACACCACGCCGAACGGGAGACGAGAAAGGAAGTGGCGGCTCCCCCGGTAGCTGTATTGGCGTGCGGGGCGGGGCCTCGGGGAGTGCTTCCGGGTCAGGTGCACGGCAGAGTGAGTCTGCGCAGAGCGGATTCGAGGGCCGTGGGGCCTGACGTCCGTCCCTGGCGAGTAGTCCCCCGCCACCGGCAGGAGAGCGCATGCGCACCACC